GCGGCTGTTGGGCCGACACTGATGCCAGCGGCTGTTGAGCCGGCAGTGATGCCGGCGGCACATACGGTGAAGGTTGAGCCGGCCCTGATGCCGGCGGCACATACGATAGAGGTTGAGCCTGCCGTGATGCCAACGGCTGTTGAGCCGGACCTGATGCCGGCGGCACATACAGTGGAGGTTGAGCCTGCCATGATGCCAACGGCTGTGGAACCGACCCTGATGCCAACGGCTGTGGACACGGCCATGATGCCCGCCGCGGCTGGTGAGTCGGCCCTGATAACTGTGGCTGTTGAAGCAGCTGTGATATCAGCGGCTGTTTATCCGACCCTGGTGCCGGCGGCAGTGCCTGTTGTGTTGCAGAGGATAAGGACATCGACGATGCCATTTTAAGTTCGTTTATTTTCATATCGTAGAATTTAAGGAACCGATTCACAGCCATGTTCGGTGGCAGGTCATCCACCTCAGCCTCGACGAGGATTTGGCATTGCGGACAGCGTAACTCATGACATAGTGTAACAGCTAGCTTCAAACATCTCTCGCAGAACGTGTGTTGGCACGGCAACATCTTGCTGGACGCGGTGTACCGCTCCCGGCATACCCAACACCTAATTAATTCTTCCAGCTCATTCGAATTGATTAAACGATCCATCGTTTTCCTGTGCCTTCCTCGTTCGTAACTACTCCGGATCCTTGTCGCTACGCTCGCATACGCTTTATCGAAATGTACTCCCTCTCACCTAATAGCGTTTTTTATTGGCACAACTGGTCCATAATAGCGCGATTTCAAAGCTCTTCATATTTATATGGCACCTGTCTTCTCTAGAAGAATAATGCTGCCAGAAACCACCTCAAATAAAAGGATATGCACTTGATTCGATAATCTTGGATGGATTTAGGGGAACAGAAACCAAAAATACGTACACACTGAGCGTTAGAAGGAGGAAAATAGAAGGATCTCGAATCTCGAGCCTGATGCCCGTTCTGTCACAGATTAATAAACAGGTCGTCAAAAGCCCGGGTGAAACCAGGACCATCATCAAAATACAAACATGGACAAACCCGTGTCACACTACGTATTGTGGATCGCGAATCGCAATTCAACCAATCGGGTCTAAAGCTGTCTCGTCTGATTGGCCGAAATGTGATCCGCGATTTCAATCCAGTCCGCAATACGTAGTGTGACACAGGCTTAAGCGAGTTTGTTCCCCCCCCCCCCCAACGACCCAATCATCGTTTCCAGACCTGTGTGCACTGTGTAGCGTGCGAGACCGTGCTCGATACTGTGGAGTTTTTGTAGGTTAGAGTGTCGGTTTCCGTTAAAAAATGTAATAAAATCATTCGAGATGCTTGAATTAATGAGGGACTCAGTTGTAATCCAAGCTTAAGCAATTCTATGCCAGATAACGAATCGATATCTGATAGACAATACGAAAACTTGGGTGGATCCAACCTGGATTTTCCTGGAGGGAGGAAAAATAAATCGTCAAGTCCATCGCCGGGGTGACTGGCAAAGTTAAGAAGAATGAATGCGACTCGCGTGATGCGTAAGTCGATACGACTCTGCAAACGTTTCGTGAACACCGAGGCGAAATGTCGAGACCGACCGCAGTGGGTGAAACCGGTGGGACACCAGACCGAAGTGTCGGTATATAATCCGATAACGAGATGCAAAGTGCCACTGATTCTGAGAACGAAGAACATTTTGAGGTGGTACATCTGCGGACCCACGGTGTACGACTCGGCGCACATTGGACACGCAACGTAATGAAAAATGTTACGAGAACATTCGCTCGTTACTGTTGTATGAGAGCATTGTTAAACAATTAGCGTTTAACCCAGACAGCGTACATGTCTAAAAGACATCTTTAAGGACCAGTTTCACAAGCATCAGTGAACTGCCGGTCGAAGGTTGCTTGATTCTCTTCCTAAATAATAGGATGGAAAAAGATAGGGAGTCGACTGAACTCTGGTTAACTGACGTTTGCGTCCCCGAGACGGCATTAATATCCGTATTCATAGTCGTTCCTCAATTCTCAAGGGTAGTTTGTCTTTGTCTCGCGTATGGTAAAACGTAGTAGCGAGACAAAGACAGACTAACCTTGAGAATTGAGGAACGACTATGAATACGGATATAAGTTATCTTTTAGACGTGCATTGCTATCTGGGAACTTAACACGATTACTTTATAGTAATAGAATACCCCGCGATCATCGAGATTGTAATTTATACAATTCTTATTTTGATTGTGACAAATGGATTTAAAGATGTTAGTCAAGCCGCTAATAGTTTCAGATGGCTGTTGCATAAAGGACTAATTTACGGTTTTATCTTTTTGCAGCACTTACATAAAATCCGACATTATTCGTAGAATTCTGTCAGATTATTTTAACATAGACGTGTTACTAGTTATGGGTATAACTGATATTGACGACAAGATAATAAATCGTTCCATCGAGAGCGAAAAGGACTTCAAGGACCTAGCGAGGCATTTTGAGGCTGAATTCCTTGCCGACATGAATAAGTTGAATATTTGCGAGCCATATTTACGCTGTAGAGTTACAGACTACGTACCGCAAATCATTCAGTTTATTGAGAGGCTTGTAGCCAAGGACGATGGTTACATCACGAAAGACGGTATGGTATTCGTTAACATTCCAACCTTGTTAGCCTGATATTACATTTGTCGTACGACAAATTTTTTGAGCGCGACGATTGGCTACAAGCGAGAACATTTCTAGATACTCGACAACTTTTCTATCCTGCAGTCAGTCGACACGCTTGGAAAAATTTGTCGTATCGTAAATGTAATACCAGTCTAAAGGCCTGTATCCACGATGCTAGAACTTGGTCCAAGTTGATGGACCAAAGACCGTGGACACAGGCCTTTATCGTAGGAAAACCGTCCGATTTCTATTTGCTTATAAATCATGGTTTACAGGATCTGTTTATTTTAACACAAGCAAGTTTGAGAGATACGGTAAATTATCAATTCCACCCATTGAGCAAGATCAGCCTGTGGCAGATAAAAGATCGGCATTGGACTTCGCACTATGGAAAGCGGCGAAGGCTAACGAACCGTCCTGGAAATCCCCGTGGGGCTACGGCAGACCGGGATGGCATATAGAGTGCAGTGCAATTGCAAGGTAATTTTAAAAGTTGGTTTCGTATGCCTTCAAATTCTAAATTCAGAGAATACATTTGCTCGAAATGTTATATGCATATTACTTTCCTAATTATTTCTATATAAAGTTTATTTAACATATATGTAGAGGAAAAGCCCCTATTACGAGATGGACTTGTAATACGAGATAGCAGGTTTTCAACACCCAAATTCAATTACAAATCTTTTTGTAACGATTACACAATCTAACAATGAATCTTCCACCAAACAGATTTCGCTCCAAGAGCAACAAATTCGTGGTGGAGTCAACAGATGACGCCTATTAATTTAACAGAAACCCTCTCGTATTAAGAGCTTATCTCATAAAAAGGGGGACTTTCCTCTATTCATCTGTATGTCAGTACTGATCATACAATAGCGTGTGTTTTTATTAGCGCAGTCTTTGGAAATTCTGTAGATATGCACAGTGGTGGAATAGATTTGGTTTTTCCACATCACGAGAATGAAGAGGCACAATCCTGCTGTTATCACGATGTCGACCAGTGGGTTAATTACTGGCTTCACTGTGGCCATTTGAGCCTGAAAGGAGACGTAAAGATGTCAAAGAGTTTGAAGAACACCATAAGCATACAAGATTACCTTGAACATTACTCAGCAAATCATCTTAGAATGCTTTGCCTGCTTTCTCATTATCGAAATGGTACGTACAATGATGTTTTTATCAATTTCATATGATTTAATCCATGCGTAATCAACTGAATTCCGTTGCAGCTATTGAATTCTCGGATGAAGTCATGCAAACTGCGGTGTCGATAACCAAGAAGCTTGATAATTTCATAAATGACTGTGATAATTATGTTGCTGGAAAATTTAAAGCTGGTGAAATTGATGAAAATCTTTTATTCACGGTAAGTTATCAATTTACAAATCTTATTGCATATAACGAATTCATTTTTTTTAATACTCCTCAGTATAATAATACAATAAAAAATTATTGTAGTACTAATTATGTTAAACTAATTAAAATTTTTTTTAGACTTTACATGACACAAGAAACCAAGTTTACTCGGCATTGGCAGATGATTTTGACACTTCGAAAGCGATGCACGCGATTATAAATCTCGTTGGGGTAGGAAATAAGATGCTTCATGAAGATAATGTAAGTCGACTACATAAAAAATATGTTCAGTAATATCAGTTATTCGCTTGCGTGTACAATCGCGTCCCCGCTGAACTTTCAAACTCACGGAAATAAAGTTGCAAAATTTACGGGGAGAAAGTTTTTAAAAATAAAATACAGCGCGGGTAGTAACACATGTTATTAATCATTGACTTTTTTTAATTGCAGGTAACATCTCACAGTAATAATGTAAGCGCAGTTGCCGCCGTTTCAAATTATCTTTCGAACATTCTCTCGAAGTTTGGCATTTCACGATCCACAAAATCAACAGCAGAAAATAGACAAGTTGAAGACATTATTGATAATTTTCTGAGATTTAGGACGGTCGTCAGAACCCGAGCGCTTGAGCAAAGTCCAAAGGATACAATTTTATTGAAAGAATGCGATAAGGCACGAAAGTGTTTAGCCACTTGTGGAATTATAGTAAAGGTAAAAATTCAACCATCATTTACAATAAACATGTTAAAAAAATGTTTAAGGATTGCATGTGACATCTATATTTGCAGGATCAGCGAAATGATACCAGCTGGAGTTGGAAATAATAATTACATGTTGAACAAAAATGTACTAAAATTACATCCTTTTTATTTAATTATAAACCTCCAGTCAACCTTTCAGTCCGTACTTTCTTTCGATCTCTTTGCGTCGTCGTTATTATCGTCAGCAATTCTTCTCTTTTCAGTTTTCTTTTCCGACAGTGTTTTCTTCAAGCCCTTCATCTTCCTTGTTTGAATACCGCTGATATTTTGTGCTCCAATATGTATACGGCCGTACGTTGTTCCAAACGTATCTTTAGAGATATTCTTCTTCGTCTTCACCTGTACAATAATAATTATTAAAACATTCGCCTTTTTACATTGATTTATAAAAATCTAAAATAATTATTTATAAAGTAATACCTTGAGTGCTTTCGGTTTCTTGCAAGCTTGCTTGAATAAGTCTTCAGAGGCGAACTTGTTGCGTCTGCACACTAAATCGGCACGCGGCCCTATTTCCTCGAGTTCTATCCTGGGTGTTTTCGTGTTGGATTTTTTCAAGAGTATCCTAAAAACGTGATGTCGATCTATATACGATAATTCTCACTTCAAACCGTAAGCTTATTCTATGACATTCACGTTATTCATTTTTCACGACACTTTACATAATCGATTATCTTCAAGGAAGATTAGTTTTAAAGAAGATAAATCACTTTCATTTCTCTCTAACCTGTAACTACGCAAAAGTATCTTATTCTCGACAGCTGTGAAACTCAAAACATGTTCAAGACCCTGCAACCTGATCTTCTGGACCTCCTCCCTCAGAAACATGTCAACGAGCAAGTTTTTGATCCTGCCATACTCGTAATTACTCTCAAAGAGTTCACCGTTGAAGATCAACAATGGTTTTATCCCCATGATGATCTTCTCAACTTTGAAGTCCCTCAGTCCTTTATAATTTTCTACGCCGAATTCTATCATGTCCAACAACGTGTGCTCGTACATTCGGCCCATCACAAGATTGTGCGGGCGTTTCTTATTGTGCAAAGCCACCATAAAGAGGGACGCGTTGTACTTGGACGCGAATTTCTCCACGGGTGTAACATCCTCGAATGGCAGTATGTCGTTTTTCTGCCTCAGCATTTGCACGTTGGGCTTCTTTAGATCGTACTGGAAAGTGATTCGTTTGTAATTTAAGAACTCTATCGATTCGCGAAGAATTGCCACGAAAGCTGGAGCGACGTCAGCAAAAATGATCTCGCGCCCGCTTACCAAATCCTTCATGACATCGGTGACGATCTGTGACGTGCGTTTACCCCTCAGGTATAAAGCTTCCTTGGTGTTTTCCACCAGCTTAGGCTCCTTCTTCAATATAGCTTTCTTGCCCCGATGTGTGGTCGGCTTTCTACAAAGATGCGTTGCACAAAATTGATGATATTTGGACTTGATTCTATGCACATTAAAGCCTAATCTACAATGTGCTTTCTGCAGATGCAAACATTCTGTTTTATACAATCAAAATGCTGGATTATACCGTGTATAATGTACAATTTGTCAACTTGCACACATTTTATACACTTATTTATTGACTACAAAATAGAATGTTTCTAGATGCAAGGATCACATTGTAGTTTACGCTCAACGAATGATAATACAAAATCACTTTGAAGACACGTAATTATACATATCAATGACTTACGTAATTCTGTTTACAGCAGGCATGGTGAAATGACAAATTGATGAACGCTAAATGAAAATCACAAGTTTGTAGCTTCAGTGAGCGAATAACCTAAGCAGCCGCATCGCTTGTGCTCCGGCGCACACGTGTGTGCCTGATCCGGAACGTCCTCCACGCATGCGCGACGTCAGTGGCGCCCTCTTTCGAGAAAGTGGTACTCTCTGCTTATAGCGGTTTAATTTAAAATAATTTATTGAAGTATTTCAAAGATGAGAAAATACTAAATGAATGTTGACTTATTTGTTGTTCGTAATCATTCTAATTGGTCTTCTCTACTTGCAGGAAACTGTCGCGGTCACACTTCTTCGTAAGAAGAGAAATTATTTAGCACGCTGTCTAGTGGAAAATTTGTTGTTAGATTGTGTAATTGTTACGAAAAGAGATTTGTAATTGAATTTGGGTGTTGAAAACCTGCTATCTCATGATAGAGAACTTACCTCTTTGTATGTGAATACATAGGAACGAATTAAATTCTAGGTAAATTGATTCAATTTTTCTTTGTTCATTTAATATAAGATGGAATGAATAGCAACTAACGAGATATCGTTAAGAGCAATTTTGGCTAATCTCCGATTAATTTAATCGACAGAATTTTGCCTCGAATCGTTGTCCAACAAATCTAATCTTTCTTTCACGTGTCAATTCACAATTTTTCCATTTTTTTTTTTTTTTGACAAAATGTCATAAGCAACCAAGTTAAATTGGAATCTATAGTCAAAGTCTCTAATTGTAAGGAAATTGTAAGGACGGTTATGAAAACAGGAGGAGGTATAATATGGACACAGTTCTATAACGCAGAACCAGCTCCAAAATCTTACTCTTTCGTTAGAGTAAATTCGCGAAACATTAGAATCAAACTTCCGCGCGTGATCTCAAAAATGCAACGACCGAACTATAATCCTCTTTAAATACCATTCCACGTGTTACACGCGTTCTTTTTTTTTACAGTTAAGTTTGTCGCGCGACAAATGTAATACCAGCCTAATAGTCGAATTATTTTTTCAGAATACGCTACAGGGGGTCACAATTCTGTATCTTACAATACAGTGAAAATGCTAAAAGTGAGCGGCTTTGTCTCCTTCTAAGGGGACGATTAGAAAGAGACAAAGCTATTCACCTTTAGCATTTTCACTATAGGCCGGTATTCATAGTCGATTCTTATTTCAAAATCATCTTAAGTGTTGTCTTAAGAGGCTAATACGGCTCTGTGATTGGTTAAAAACATATTAAGAGTATACTTAAGATGATCTCGAATATAAGAACGGACTGCGAATACGTAGTGTAAGATACAGCATTGGCCCCCAGGCCTTCGCGAACCACCTTGCAATACAGAATTAAAAATCACGAAAATGGCGCACGGTTTCGTATCGCACAACTGCATCCACATGCGGTGAAACGTGAGGGGTCCAAATAAAGGCCGCCCAGCTTGTAGCACATACATTGATTTATTATATGTAGATTGTTCATAGCTTATTGTTTCTCTATTTTTTATAGCAACAGCAAATATACTATGGTTTGGTCAAATTAACAAACTGTTTTCTCCAATCTGCCGCCGATGTGATTATTGCACGTCGCTACACCGGATATAACGTGAATAACAGAGCCAGATGTATGTAGGTACATCATTGGCAGGTTGTGACACTCGGAGGCCCGATCAATCATCCGGGCATGACCGCCTCCGGCTCAAATTTGGTTTGCCAATGATTAGTGTTTAGCTTCTTTCTCGTTTCTCTTTCATTTTGATAGTCATTTTCATAATCGAAGACATCCACAAGAGAGGTCTAGTTAGATAATTAACTAAGTTTCACACAGCGCGTACTAAAAGCGTACTAAGAAGTCCTATCGGTCCTCCCACGGTTACCTCCCACGTATCAAAGGTACGCGCTGTTTTCCCCCGCCCCCCACTTTTTTTCATTTTTTTTTTCTGGTTTTGTTAAACGTTTACACGAAACAACGCAATGTGTAATTCAAAAGAGTCCCCTCCCCCTCCCCGTTTTTCCCGAAGAATACTCTTAACGTTTAAGAATCCCCCCCCCCTTTCCCCCTGCACCCACCCGCGCACTACTTTCTCTTACGTCCGTCGCATTAAATGCCATCGCGATTAATAGGAGAGTCTTATATTTATAGTCCCTACTTTTTAATAATATTATATACAATTGTTTGGCACCGAAGTTGTCTTTTTCATTATTTCTTTTTCTCCCTTTTCTCTCTTCACCCCTTCCGAATCGCCACGATGCCAGCGAAGATCCAAACGTGAACGTGCGCCCGTGTGTCCGTGTATGAGCGACAGCAGTTGAAAGGTCGGTATTTTTCTTTTCTTCTTTTTTTTTGGGTTTTTAATCAGGTCGTGACTCGCCTCGTCGGCGATCGCTCGGTGGTAGCGATGATCGGCACTCGATGACCCGTGCGTCGGTGGCACCAAGGATCGTGACCTTGGAAGCTCGAGAAACGGTATTGCCCTCGGATTCGCGCGGTGTCGAGTCTCCCCGCGGTCCTCGTCGCCCGACGTTACGAAAGTCCCGGTTACGAACGACGCGTGCCAACGAGCTTCGGGTGCGTCAGCGCGTTACAAGCCTCTCTCCTACGCCTCTTTTCCTTTCTTTCTTTTTTGTACGGCATGGCTTTATGGCATCATATAAATTTACATATCTCCTCGTGCCTCCAACCCTCGCGTTACAGTGGAATGTGTGTCGCCGTCGTGGCACCGCCGAGCCTTTCGTTTCGTCGTTTACAGGAGCCTCTGTCAGAGCCAGGTGAGGTGGTCAGTAACATTGCCAATCCGACTCTCTTGACACTCGTGTACAGGGTGTTGCAGAGACATACGGGTCAGTATGACGTGTAACCCGCTGCCTATTAGTGCTGGCGCGCGTGGTCATTTATAATTGCGTTATGAATTATGGCGTATTAAAACAAAAAACAGTTGTCGCTGTTCTCACTGTTCTCAGGGCCTGAGCAGAATGGCTGTCTTCAAGGCCGACGTTAGGCGCGTGCAACCGGAGCGTCGCACGCGGCCCCGCGGTTCGGTCAGTCATGCTTTCCCGCGCTAATCAAGCGGCCGAATTCGTTTTTTTGCTTGCACCCGGCTCTGGCTGTCTTATACTTTTAAGACAGCCTTAAGACAGTGTCTCGTGTTTCAACCGTTTGTCTTGAGGTAACACACAATAACTGTCTTATGTCTTAAGAGTACAAGACAGCCATACCGCTCAGGCTCTTACAACTTGACACGCCGAATTTATAACGCATACGCACGACCGTGCGCGCCCGCACGAATAGGCATACTGACATGTACGTTTACGCGATTTCTTGTACGCCACGTGGTTCCTCCCGCCGCGCGGAGACGGATCGGCAAAGCGCTTAGCCCGCAATGCGGTCTTATCGTTTACGAAAAGGTATTACATTAATCTTCATCTCTCTCTTTTCTCCCCTTTTACCCTCCTCTTAACTGTATCCTAGAAAAAAACTGACTGCCACTGGTTTTCAGCGAATTCCAGACTGCCCAGCAGTCAGACATACATAACAATTATCACAACTTAATACCGTAATACTAATACAATATTATGTAAATATATTAATATTTATAATCATAAATATTCTCTATATATATATAATGTATTATTAACAACTGACCTTGTTTGTGGTTTTATATCGTGCGCGATACAAGTTTCGTATCGTAATATACGATATAATACTGCATAGGATCGGTAGAATACCATACGAAACGTAATACACAATTATGATCTCTCTCCCTCTTCCTCGAAGACTACCAAGCTTGGAACGTAAATGGAAATCAACGGTCGTCACGTAAGCACGCCGTAAGCGCGTTTCAACTTCCTCCGATACTGGTTGATTTGTGTGTGTGTGTGTGTGTGTGTGTGTGCGCGCGTGCGCGCGCGCGGTGTGTGTCATTGTGTGTTTAAAATCTATTATAATTTTACTAAAAAAATATCGATCGATAAGAGCTACGTACGGTGCTAGAATTATTTAACATTTAAAAATGAGATCTAGTTTCATCCTCTATTAATGTAAGAACAAACATTAAGAATCATTGAGTGGATAATGGATTTTTTTTATGCTGTATATATGTTGTGTCCGGTGTATCTGAAAACCTTATCTACCCGTCCCCTCTCGCCCGTCCACGAGTGTACTTTTGTTTCTCTCCTCCTCTTCGCGTTGTAAGTACTTATGTTAAGTTCGTCGATTAAGTTAGTCGGACGATTTCGAGGCCGATTTTTGGTTTTGTTACGTACGCTAGTCGATCACAAACGTTCTCTAACGTGGCTACGTGCCTTGCGTTACCGCGCGACGTGTCCGATCACTTTCACATAATGTTTGTTCACTCAGAAGATGTCTTCGTCCGGATCGTTCGACGGTGCGGCCTGAAGCGCCAACTGCATGCTGGATTCCGTGTTACGCCGCTTCATTTTACCCTTAGTCTTCTTCAGCATCGTGGCCTAGGAAGGGACAGGATCAGGGAGCGCACAAAGGAGCAATCGATAAGAATGTCAGTCAGTACCGCTGACAAAGTACAAGTACAAAGTAGAAAGTATATAGAAGTGTAGAAAAATATGGAAAGTTACAAATTCATGGTACAACTTATATACGTAGAAAAAAGAAGGGAGAGAAGAAACGTTTTGTAAAGCTGAACACTACTATCCGATATAATGCGTCTAATCCACACATTACAAGCTCGAGCTAGCTGCATAGGGATCGAGGCATCGAGAAGGTATCGCGGAAGTTGATCGGTTTTTACATGCATCAACGGAGGGATCGGGGGGAGAGTTCCTTTCTTTCTTTCCGTGTTTAGATGGAATTGGTTTCAGACGGCACACGGGGACGACACACCGAGACTCCTCTCCCGCGCGTGCGTTCCACTTACGCGCGCCGAGGAGTCTAGGATGTGATGTCGCGCGTCTTACGAGATACGATTAAACTATCGAGCAGTTGTAAGTTGTGGTATAGTTGGATTACTCGTCCGTGCTCTTGCCCCCCTCCCCATTAGCAGGTAGAATCGACGGTTCGGTATTGCGACGCTTGATCTTACTTTTCTTCAACATGGTAGCCTGAAGTGAACAGAGGAACAAGGAGATATTAGTCGAGTGCAATTAGGGGAGGAAAGCATGCGCTGATAGGTATCAGCAATCAGGTTACGCTTTTTACGGTGAATACGTAGAGTATTGTAATATGAAATGAAAAATGCTACAAACTAATAGGGATGCGCCTGTTAAAAAGTTTTTACGTGCCACAAGAGAATGTACGCCCCATTATTCTACTTAAACTCGAACGGCGAGAGACGCAACGACTCTGGTTTATTACTCGCGTTTCAAGAGCATGGAGAGACATATCGCTCTACTAATAACGATACACGTTATCGTGTCGGTGAATGACTTGTACGTTACGATTCTGTCCGTTATTTCTGTGGAATTATGGGGGAGTTTTGTAACAACTCTCAACGTCTAAGTATTACCTTGAGAGCAGATTTCAAGACCACAATGTCTCCGGGACTCTGAACCCACGGTTCACCGTCTACTTGTACAGGTATATCTGAGTTTAAGTGAATTTTTATGTGTCCACCCTATCGATCGAAACAAAACGACAAGTAAATCGATGTGCATCGCAGAAAGGAAATACAGAGAGTACCTCGTTGTCTGTATCGTTGATTAACTTCCATTTACCTGCGCTATTCTCATAGCCGTACGTAAACCCGACTGTATCTGTCCAAGATGCATAACGCCTGTGACTCCGACAACCTCCAACATGCCGTCCCAATGATTCGGTGTATAAAATTGATCTTCTTTGGTATCTGGTCCCCAAGGATTAGCACCAGAACCCCAACTAAACGTGAAAGGCAGAAAAGGCATCGTTTGAAATAGAGCTTAAAATATCCTTCCTCTTTTATACAACATGTAACACATTCTGTAATGATTACCTTAAAATGTTCAGAATTATTATTCCTTCCACTTGCGGTAACTCGACCAATTTACCGTCCACTTCTAATCGAATTTCTTTATGTAAATCTTTGCACGGTTTACGCCTGACCATTTTACGCAGACCCATCGTTACGTACACGCCCTTATTTCGTAATCTGCTTTTGAACTTGTTAGGATTTTCCTCCCTCGCATTATGAAAGTCCAGACACAAATCCGCATCGACGCCAATGCCAAAATAATTATTCATCACATATATTTGCGTATTGTCTTCGCTAGTACCAGCGCCTGTAGTAATATGCAAATGGCGCGATGCTACTTGCTGAGAAGCTGTAACATTGCCGCCATTAGAATTCTCCTTTGTATTACGAAACTGGTTTTTGCGGTGTTGTCGAGAAACTTCTCCCTTACCTGCAGCGTTACAAACCACTTGAGTTTGCTCCTTTTCTTCCGGATGAAAAACTACGGTCCATCTGTCCAATATTATTTCTTCCGCATCGATAACGTCTCGCAGCAAGTTTAGTGGATCTTCGTCACCCGTGTAGCCTGAACCCCAACATAATACACGAGCAAGGTCGTTTCCCGTTCCCAAAGGTACAATAGCACAAGCGGGAGAAGAACATTGGCTATCCTGACCCACATTATCTAAACATTGTAATACCCAACCTATCGTTCCATCACCACCACAAACTAATATCTTGTAGTCCTTTATGTGACGAAAAACGTAAAGTCTGTAACGCAAAGAAAGTACTTACTTCTTTTTATCTAACTTGCTTGTAAAATTATATCGTGCTTCAGAATATGTGTTATATTACTTAAATCATTATGTGCGATCGACACTTACCCTGGGAGAGGTCCGCCATTATCAAGATCGAACACTTGATAAGGATTTAATAGTTTACGAAAACTAGAAATTAGCTGGAGTCCTTGGCAACCACCAGATTTTACATTTACAAACACGAGCAGTGGTTGGACGCCCGTTGGTACCATACTTGGCTCGATACTTGGTAGAATCATTACTAGAAAGAAAACAAAGATAAGACAATATTTCAATATGTATCTCATTAAAACTAAAAGACTACATCAATCAGAAAAAAAAGTGAGATATGTATACAACTATCCCATGCACTATGAATCCCTACTTGATACTAATTAATATTTTCTCGCATCTCAGATATATTTAAGTACCTAAAAGGAGTTTGTCTTCACATTTTTTTTCTCGCAACGTATATAATGCTCTAACCGCTGTATCCAAATCCTCGTATATGATAACCACTGAACCATATTCGTAATAAATTGGGCCGATTGATGAAAACATATTTTCTGAAAAGTCCAAGAAGTTATATAGGTAAATAGGTATTTTCCGAATTCTGTGGATAACAGTTAATTTCCCGTTGGATTACCAACCTTTTCCTAAATGTTCCGTTAGCATGTTTTCATAATTTCTTTCGGAAAGATTTTGCGGTAGGTTGCCCACGAATAATGCCAAATTAGGTCCATGGGGATCTTGCTTTAGTTGTAGATAGAATCGCATCAGTTCCATTTGTCTAATAGAATCTTTTCCCAGCATTTTAACGATGTCCCAGGGTTTTTCATCCCAAGACAAAACTCTTTCCGTTACTAATAGAAATAAAGCTTTCTTTATTTTTCGTGCAAGACAAAGCGCAGTCTTGAGGAATATTCGATTTAAGTTGCAAACTGTCAAGTTGGAGAAAAACTCGAAACGTACCACCACGGTCTAAAAGAATTTCACTGCACCTAAAGTCATCACAATTAAAATTTTGTAAGCCGAACTTTTCCAGTGCCTCGTTTATTAAGTCTGCGACGGTTGTTGCTTCGGTGACAGGTACTATACAGAATGACTCTGATACCTGCAATCTGCCGGGATAAACCCGTACCTCTCCGCTGTCGTTATCTCTGAAATCATTAAAATTTATTATACACGTTATATCAAAATTCTTTGCTGTTTTCATATTTAAATACAAATACAATTTCTAGCATAATATTAATTTTCTACTGTATTTTTTTAGATAAAAAATTATATAAAATATTCTAGATATTGTTTTGTTTAGTAAGTGTGGTGTGAACTTACTTAAATCGCAAGAACACAGCGGGACGTTTGCCTTCTTTACGATTTAAATTTAAAACAGGCGTTGGGTCACCTAACTCAGTTTCCTCCGCGGCATACAGGTCAGTTAAGTAAAAGTTACCTGAATTTTCGCGAAAAAGAGTCGATTGGTTCAATTAGTAAATTTATCGAAAAGAATCCATGTTTGTCATGTCAAATAAAATAGTCCATATGCACGTACTAGGATCTTTCGTGATGTGAAATGCGCGCAGTGCCGATGTGAGAACCTGCTCTGTCGTAGCCTGCCTGGGTACCGAAATTACCCGAAATATTCTTCGCCTCAAGGAATTGTTGCCATCGTACACCTTAATCATCTCTGTGGGAGAATATCAGATTCACAGATTAGGGGAGAGAAAATCTCGAAACTGTTAATCGGAAGTTGTATTGAAATACCTTCGTCACCTCTTTCTTTATCTTCTTTCTCTTTAGGAGAACGCGGATCACGGCCATGCGCTGCGCCCTGTGTCGGTTCTCCATTGTCACGATACCTTGGATCGCTACCAAATTCCTCTGATATGCTCCGCGCTGTTAACACAAAGAAGGATCATACTTCGAATGTTAGAATATTATTAATATAGAATACAAGAATACCTAAATGTAATAGAATATTATTAATATGAAATACAATAATACCTAAATGAAACATAAAATCCGTATATAATACATCTTCTTCCGTCGAGTACATCCAAATTGACAAAATGTTTCATTTTTTTTTACTCAGATAACATTAATGGTGTCGCTCTTGAAAAGGCGTTATAAAATATCTTATATTACAAAGCAACGAAATTCAATGTAATCTCAAAAATATGTATTATCCTGCAAGCAACACTTTCATTAAATTATCGTGTAATTTATTTATAATTTATCAAGACTTCGATTAATTGTGGAAATTAATTGTGGAAGCAAAGGCGGCGTACAAATCACCACCATCGTGTACAAATATTCGAAAAGGATCTGCATGAAACAGATACTTTGAGGAAAGTAATGAATCAATTTAAGAGCAATTTATAAACACAAAGAGAGTTGTAACGACTCTGCTTATTATTCAAGAATAAATTACATCTCTTACCATCGATTATTTACGATGGGTTTGTAGAACACAGACACGATAGGAAGAATTAGTCAGTAGTATTGTTGAACTTCATTTCACTGCATAGTAGAGTGATAAGCGTCATGGTATCTCATAGCATCCAGTGGGCTGAATGACAGTGCATGCACTGAAGCGAGACATACATACATGCTAAAACGTAAACAGTAACAAAATAACATCTATAAAAAAAGGTTGGTGCACTATGATATTTATGTAAATGCATGTCGTGTGACAATTTATTATAGATATGCAATTTAAACGAGTCCACTTTGACAAATGCATCATCGTTTCCCACTTCCTGAATTCATCTCACGTAAATAATATATCGTTTTGCTGTCAAATATTTCACACTCGTTCCAGTCAAAGAAATTCATAAGAGATAAAATGCAATTTTATAAGAAACTACCTATCGGGAAATTAGCTCGACTGTACTTCTATATGTACTTATTTCCCCACCCACATGATTTAAATTAGATAGATTAAATATAATTAGAGATATATATGTTAATGGGTAACAAGGAAACGGGATTTGAGAGTCAAACGCGGTTAGTTGTACGAGAGTTAACGTTATGTAACATTTAATTAATAATTTAATACAAACTGTGATTTATATTAAATTATTAATTAAACGTTACATAACGTTAACTTACACACAATTAACCGCATTCGCCTTTCAAAGCCTACTTTCCCTTGTTACGCGTTAATTTTAATTATTGAGATTCTTTAGTTAATTAATCATTTGTTTATATGTTACATTACATGTATATTATTGTGTTTATATACGAAATACAGTGTGTGTATGTATGTATATGTGTTATATTACTGCCACATTAATATATATTGTACACAACAAACACACACACACATACATATTAATGCGGTAGTAAAATGTTATTCGAAAATGTCGGAAAGTATGATGGAAGCAAGCTAAATATTTGCATCGCCGTTATGCAAAAAAAATATATATATAAATAAATATGATTATGTCTTTTACAATACAGCGCTTTCTCAATCCTAAACTGCAAATGTCGAAGAAGTAGTTACATGTAGAGATAACAACAGTAACGATCACTACAGCGTACTTCAAGTTACTCTCAGTCTTGTACGATAAGTACATCTTAGAATCGAGTACATTCACACAGATGAATGTCTGACGATGATAATATTCTAGATACCTCGAACATAAGGAGGGGAAGCATGACAATTTCCATGGCAGCTACGTGGCAAAACTAGCGAAAGGCGCCTCAAAGCTTCGGCTAGGCGGCCTGCAGCCCCGTTTTGTTCACTCTCAGCGAAATCGAATTGCTCTCCGATGTGTTCTTCACATAGAAGCAAAGATGGACCGAATATTTTAACGGTTATCACCATTTCAAATCTATAATTTTATCTCTGTTTAGGTATTTTTACTCCATTGTGACGTGTGTGTTTATTCTCCCTCTCTCTCTCTCTCTCTCTCTCTTTCTCACCGTTAAGCTTGTTTAATTATATATAAAGACGTGCTTTCTTTGATATCGAAGAATTATGACATCCAAGGTTTGTAATTATTAAAATAAAATGTTCACTTTCACACACAGCTTTAATTTTGTAAGCTTATATTATATAATTTGTAAACGCCAATTCTAATTACCATCTAATTACGAAGCTCAATAAAATAAGTGCTGTATCTATTAAAATATATTATGCCTATTAAAAGCACATTGAAAATAGCAGTTGATAAGAGCAACCAGCCACAAAAGCCATAGTTTACAAATATATTGTGAACAAAATATTTAAGGTATACAATAGACGTAGCTTTGACGTTGCTTAAGAAGGTTTGTACGATTATAAACTACAGAAAATTTGATTTGTATAATTTAAATTTCGCACAGCGCGTACGTCATGATCCTGAACTCTCGTATAATTTTGGACATCTTCACCTATCGTAGATGATACGAGACTCGCGATCGATTCTCGCGTGGCATATTTGATGATATAAATGATTCAATCATGAGTGTATTATGATGATTAGACAGCAGTCACACTTTCTATAATCCAAAAGCTCATTTCTAATCCCTGCATCTAGCACACATTTCGCTACGTAAAGATTGTCGTAAACGTATATTGTAATATTTTTCCACGTTATTAACTCAATTCACAGTCTCTTTTCATTCTATAAAAAAAATCAGTATTTACAATTTAAGTTTCTTTTTTAAACAGCTCGTATTGCAGAAACGTATAGGAAGCTGAGAGTGTAAGAAACTGCAAGTAGCAAATATAAATACACGTATATTTATGTGAGATATTAAAATTGACTAGAGAAATTTGACTACTAATATTATCCCATATAAATGCAGTTTCTCAATTCGTGATATGACGGAACAGTGAAAGTTTGAGGCGGTAATAAATCTTTCAAAATATAGGTAGGGTCTTTCTCGTTTCATATCGAAGAAAGTCAACGTTGCATGCTCTGAAAAGAAGGAAGAACATGTATATGTTTACAAACCGACGGTTTTATACACGCGTGAGTGAATGCTAAAATAATACCATGCAAAAAGTTTATACGTATCCAAAAATTAGTTGTATCTCTTACAAGTACCCCTCTACTAATGTATAAGGAATATACTTCGCATATTATACATTCTTTTTTCAAACTTTACATAGTACGGTGTACAATATCTTCCGCTACCAATCATCAGTGCATATTTGCATACGTGTACATGTGCTATGCATAGTAAAAATAGAAAATCTCATACATATACGAGAGACACAGTGTGAAAATAATCAGTTGTGTCAATAGGTAATACGGAAATGCTGAATGATGAATTGAAAAAACTTCATAAAGCGCTAATCAACAATGAAATTCACAATGCACACAGCGGAGAAACGCGATAATTTAGACAACGTCCAATTATGCAAACGGAGCAGCTTGAGCTAAGACTCTCAACGTGGATTCTTTTCCCATTATTTGTTATCTGAGCTTAATATACATCACTTGCTTGGAGATATGTAGATCTCGTAATTCAAAAGCGATGTATCTATTGTATATCAAAATTAGAATTACGCTATATATTTATATATAGCTACGTGCGTTACCAACGCGAGCATGTGTTTTATCGATTACAAATGCAGTCTTAAAAATTTGGAGTGTTGACGTCTGTTAATATTATTCAATTTTATTCGACAGAGAATCTCGCCTTAATCTTATTCCCCTTTCTCCGTTACAAGAGAATCGCTTCAACGTCCAAAATTATATTCCCGGTGGGATTGCTTGATAAAATATTAAAGTGCTTTCGCGGCACGTGATAAAGCGCAATTCCTCATTCTATTATTCTAATTACCTGTTAACACGCACATCGTAATTACACGGCAGACACTTACGGCAAGAATACTCACGCGCCAGCACTTCTTTACGACGCACTTCTACTCCAATGATGGCTTCCATGGGAACTTCGGTACGCGGAATACTAACTGCGTGTGGCGGCAGGTAAATTGGTTCCAAGTTACCAAAGGTGCATTCTTGGGGGATATTCTTGTAACAATACGCGTGCAACTGAGAGACGAAATCAAATTTGTCATTAGGTATTATTTTAACGAGGCAGGAGGGGCGGGGGAGGGGAGGAGCTTTAATCATGCCAACGAAATATGCTTTCTAGCTCTATTCGTAAGAGCCCATTACACTTGACTTGAAATGACCAAGTAACGCAATGCAATGTAATGTTTCATTCTAATTCTAACTCCGAGCCGAGACGGAACGGAGCGAATAGTCGCAAAGACCAAAGGCAAGGGCGATCTAACGGCGATGTAGTAACGAATCTTTCTTTTACCGTCATGCCGCACCACTCGCAACGAAACCCGGCAAGGCACTCGGCAGTAAAACAACTCTTCTTGCATACGGCGCATTTCGAGCTGCTCGGAAGATTGCCTTCCCGCCAATGATGAGTGTGCTTCACTGCTGACAGATCCTTCCCAGGTATGTATGTGGCATTCTCCTTGCAGTCTGCCACCGCGAAGTCTTGGCATTCTACGTGCACGAAGTACTCGCATACTACGGGAAACACAGGAGCGATTAACATTTCGTCAGAGACCCAAATATGCCTACCGAAGCCTCGCGTTTCTTTGACTCGAGAACAGGAACTTTGGCTTACTTTCACAGTGTATGGATAGATTATCATCCAACCGCTTCCGACAGACGTTGCAGAATTTCCTTTTGCGATGTACTTGTTCGGACCAACAGTGTGCAACCGGGTTCTGCAACAATGAGGAGACCCAGTGAAAGAACTGCTGTTAATCTTACGTACTCAAAAACCGCGGCTAATTATGGGCTCGAAGAGGATTCACTTTCTCAAATACTTCACACACTAGCGTAATCTGTTCAAAAAGAAAGGAATTCTTTTCCGACGGTTCGAGAATTATTTTTAGAGAGTATAAAAACAATTTCTTTTGTATCCGATAAAAAAGCTCGAAATTGGTGACATAGAAGCGAATTCGTTCTGAGTTCTTAATGTTTTCAGAAATGGGATGGAAGAGAAATTCATTTCATAATTTGGGATTTGAGAAAGAAATTTTTGCGATGTACATACTTATTCGGGCCAACAATGTTCAACCGAGTTCTGCAATAAATAAAGAAGCCTAATGAAGAAATGGTATAAATATACCCAAATAGCACGGTGATTATTATGAACTCACAGAGGATTCACTTTTTCTTAGCGCGATTTGTTCAAAGAGAACGCAAAAGGTTCCTTTCGGCGGTTCAAGAAGGATTATCCTTCAGAGATTCTACGGGGTATAAAAAGAATTTCTTTTGTATCCGAAGAGCTAAAAATCGGTGACATAAAGGCGACTTTTCAGCTCTCAAGAACGTTTTCAGAACGGAAGTAGAATGGGAGAAAAAATCGTTTCATAATTCCAGAAGTGAAATTCCTTTTGGATTCTGTGTGTCATCCAGGTGTCGAACCAAAAGTTCCGGGTGATGCCAAGGAGATCTGACACGCGAACGTGGAGCAACGGGCAAGTAGCCCTTCGACGTTCCGTTCAATCTTTTCTCTCGGCTCTACTAAAATCCACGTAAATTATTTTATCGCAACGCTCAGTTATTTTACGATGCACCTGGGAAGATTGCTTTCCTATATTCTAAGTATAGGCGTTATATTTATGCGCAGGCGATTAATCCTTGCGGCGCGGAGACGGATCCCGTTGTCTTACCTTAATCAGGCTTGCCGCGATGCTGGAGCAGGGAGAGACGACGGCCTTGAGACAGCGGTCGTGCACCACGAAGTTACACACTGCAACACGAGAGGAAAGAACCAAATTTAGAGAGAAAGAACTTCTCAAGTCCGCGCGAGATTGATTGCGTTAAATCGAAGAGCGTTACCGGCTAAGCAGTGTACACTTTAGCATAAATCAATACGAGCCGCTCATGTCGTAATTTATAACAAGATCTTCTGACCTTTCGCGGTGTAAGTAAAAAACATCGAGAATCATACGCGGCTGGCGTTATTTAATGTTACTACCGTTAACCGGGCGGCAAGTGGGTAAGGTTTGGTGTACCAAACTTCTGTAGGAGTCGAAGAAAAAAAAATAGATGTACACATGTTTAGAAAATCCTCAGTTTTGCCCATCCTCGTGGCATTTTTGTTGCCCAAATGTTCTTTAGAAGACACGCGTCTCTTTGCGCTTCTAAAATAGCACAGGCCGACAACTTTTATACCCAAAGATCAGACTAGGTGACCCCGAAGGTTTTTCGTGTGCTGAACACGAATCCGTTGTCCGTTTTTCCCTAGCACGTCAGGATTCCCAGATATTCTGAGTGTGCAAAAAGGCCATTTCGAGGCATATTTGAGCTTATGTCACACGTAGAGGAAATTTTTTTCGCTCATTGCCGTTTGTGGAATCTTGTAGTACAAGTTTGCCCCCTTCAATTTCCGTCTTTGCGCGTCCCAAAACGATTTTCCCCGGCCGAGATATCACACATTGAAGTTGAGACGAGTTGAATGAATTAATGAAAGTAGTACTATGTAGGAATCCAGTATAGAATCACAATATAAAGAGAGAACTTGATGACTAGAGGCTCTGAAACTACAAAGCCCAAGCATCGAAATCTATAAAACCAAAACCCATACAATCCCGAAGCTCCTAAACTATTTAGATTATCTTCCAAATAGTTTTAGATTATCTTCTAAATAGTTTAGAAGCTTCGGAATTGTGGGTTTTGGTTTTATAGGTTTCGATGCTTGGACTTTGTAGTTTTAGAGCCTCTAGTCATCAAGTTCTCTCTTTATTGTGTCTCTATACTGGATTCCTACATAGTACTGCTTTCATTAACATTCAACATTAACTTGAATGCGCGATATCTCAGTCGGGAAAAATCGTTTTGGGACGTGCAAAAACGGAAATTGAAGGGGAGGACTTGTACTAGAAGACACCACAAACGGTAATGAGCAAAAAAATTCCCTCCGCGTGTAACATAAACTCAAATACGTCTAAAAATGGCCTGGTTTTGAACCTTTACGTTAGGATATCTCAGAATCCTGACGTGCCAGGGAAAAACGGACAACGGATTCGTGTTCAGCACACGAGAGACCTTCGGGGTCACCTAGTCTGATCTTTGAGTATAAAAAACAGCTTTCCTTTTGTCGACCTGTGTAATACTCGACAGATTCTATAGTAAAGCGGATACCGCGGGCCTGCTAATGTTATCGATTGCAAATTTAGGGTCGATATCGAGAGCGGCGTGTTAAGCCGCTCGGGGTGGCCCGGCGTGCTGCGAGCGCGCGGAGAACGAAGAATCGTTCGGCGATTCCTCGGGAATTGATATATTTCAGGGTCGGGGGTTCAGAGGTGACGATCGGAGGCAGCGTCATCTCCGCGTATCCGTCATCCACTCGATACAAGGTGACGGGTGTCGCACGTTCCCCCGTCGCGCATAGCCGGTAATGATCGCGTTTCTATCGCGCTCTTGCGACGCTAATCAGGCAAGATGTGGGAAATTTGTCGCATCGGCGCGCAGATGCGGCCCGAAATAGTACTGTGCATCCGCTTCGTTAAGAAGGCGCCATCAGCCGCCATCGACGATCGACCGTTCGTTCCACGAATGCCGAGTTAACTTTAACTCGCCGAGTGGGCAGCTCAAATCGAAAAGAAGAGGTGCTCGGCATCGCCGTGGAAAAGGCGGAATTCCGTCCGTTTACTCGTGTCGTTTGCCCGAACGAGCTTCCCGGGCAAATCGTAAAAGATACGACGCGCGTTAGAACGTTCGTTCTAACGAACGTTCCAGGCAATATATTTTCTATTCCTGGTGTTTGCATCGTTTAAAATCTGTTCCAGGCATTTGCAACGTTTAAGATCTACTTGAGACACCTGCAACGTTTAAGGTCCGTTTTAGACATTCACAGCGTTTGAAGCTCCGGAGTTTTGCAACGTTTCAGATTTGTTCCAGGTATTTGCGGCGATTAAGATCTGTTCCAGGCACTCACAACGCCTAGAGATCCGGGATTTTGCAACGTTTAAGGTTTATTCCAAGCATTTGCAACGTTTGAGATTTCTTTCAGGTATTTACATAATTTAAAGATTAAAATCCGTTTCAGATATTTGCTACGTGTTTAAAGGCTGTTCCAGACATTTGCAATGTTTAAGGTCTGCTCTGGGATTTTGCAACACTCAAGAGCTGCTCCAGACATTTGCAAAGTTTAAGGTCTATTTCAAATACTTGCACAGTTTAAAGTCTGCTCCGGGATTTTGCGACGCTTAAGATCTGCTCCAGGCGTTTGCAAAGTTTAAGGTCTATTCCAGACATTTGAAACGTTTAAGGTCTATTCCGGGATTGTGCGACGTCCGAAGGATCTGTCTCAGGGATTTGCAACGTTTAGAATCTTTATTTGGATTCCGGCATTCTTTGACGCACTTGCAGTTATCCACGTGACTGGTCGGTCCTGCTGTGCACGCGGTTATGCAAATCTATCCTAATAGACCTCTAATGTATGTACATATTCAACCATGAATTTTGCTGTGTTTGTACCATCATTCATCAACCGACGCGAGCCACCATTCGACTGCTCGAATACATAATCATGAGCGACAAAGCTGGGAGCGTTAAGAGAATAGATAAGATGAGAAACAATGCTTTCGAGATAACGGAGGAAAGAAAGGAAATTAACGCGACGTATACCGTGATTTAGAAGAAGATCCTTGCGAGACACTCTCCGCAAGACTGCCGTGCTCGAGTTTCCACATCTGGAATCTGTTTGTTTCTTTAGCTGTATTTCTAGCTACCCTTTTCCTCTCTCCTTAGGAACGCGCTTTTACCTCGAACGCGAGGAATGCAAGGAGGTAGAAAGAAAAATCTACTCAAGTCTCTATCGATGTCGCTCTTGTCTACATCGGGAATTCCAGAGAAATTAGATTGAAAGCAACAAATGCGGGCACGTGCGTTAAGTCGCGTATCCCTGAAAAAGAGAGAGAGAGAGAGAGAGAGAGAGAGAGAGAGAGAGAGAGAGAGGGGGGGAAAGAGAAATCCCCTTACATTCCACTAATTCCTCGGTAATCATATAATAATCTCGAGTACGACGGGTATCGGTTTTCAATATACAATATTAGGTGATCACTTTGGGACTCTCTGCATGCTTTTATTACTCGATTAGCTTTCGGAGCAGGTGGTCGTCCTATTTATAACGATCCCGATCGATCAGCAACAGCGCGAGAAGTTAACCAAAATTGCCTTCGCTAAGATTGTCGTGCCTTTGAAGAATCTGCTCTCTCTCTCTCTCTCTCTCTCTCGATTCTGCGAGGAACGTCGTCGCGACTCTGGCCCTCGAGTCCGAGCGTTTCCTAATAATTCGGTGATCCGACTGCATTCTTACATAACAATCTTATCTTTTATAATATTGATCGTCTACGTGAACTGCGTTCCCTTCTATACGGAGTCGTTTCACAGAGCTTTCACAGAGAAACTCTGGGATAAAGAACCCATTTTGGGGCCCACAATTAGCAATCGAATTGTTTGGATTATTCGTAACTCTACTCTGGGAAAAATTTTGACCGTTTTTTTTTGTAGTTAAGCAACTTAACATTTCGGTTAGTGCCTTAAGCGAAAATCATCTTTGCGTTACTGAATATCGACAGAACTAATTGAGAGAATTGATTAGTATTACTTAAAAATCTTCGTTATAGATAGAACAGCTAATTGCGATTTTTAGTTACGCGGGGTAAAATTCGTGAAAGATTACGAGTTACGAACAATCCAAATAATTCGATTACTAATTGTGGGCCCCAAAATGGGTCGCTGTCTTTTTTTTCCCCAGAGAAAGAACACGGAAAAGCCCGAATGGCGCGTGGCAGACGCGTGCGGCGCGTTAATTAATATGTATCGCAGAACGTTTCTTCCGTAACCGTACGAGATATACCCGCGGAAACAAGTGCACGCGATCCAAAGCGACGTAGCGAAACTGTAGCGCGGCACTTGAGATTTTCATGCATTCGGTGTATACGATATCTTTGTGGCACACGATATACACGATGTCTTTAATGGACGATCCTTTTTATTAGCAAGCGCTTCTACTCGCCGCGCTTTGGCAATCAATTTTCGCTGTTTAGAGAAAAATTACCCGAGATGAGTAGAAGAAAAAGGGCGCGCTGCTCTCTTGTACGAGGAAAAGAAAGCGTGCGACGGAATCTGTCTGGCGAACGCGGGCATATCTATATGCATTATCAATGAGGAACATCGGTTAAACTGTTGGAGGATCTCGCGAGGGGAACCGAGTGATATCAATATTAGCTGAGATCGGCCTCTTAAGTGTGAAGCATCGTCCTCTAGATTGATTGATTATAGATTGATGGCCAGTGCATCCCAAACTCATTTCTTGTGCACTTCAATTCGATCGGCCTTTTCGAACTACACTTGGACAAGCACACGCGAAATTAATATCTTTAATTATCTCCTAAGAAAATATCATTTCTACGATTCAAGAAGGAGAATGGAGATTATTTGTAATTCAATATACGACACTTTGCGCTTACCTATAACAATACTAATATATCAATACCGTTTCAAATCGCAAACATGACAAATTTAATTATTATTTTTTTCTATTTCCTGCATCAATGTCGTCCGTCTCATCTTACTTCTTAATCTCTTTACTGTCGACTTTAATTTATATTACTCATTTATTTGTCAACTCGCCAATCATACTTTACTTCTCAATTTTTATACTTCCGACCATAATTTATTGAACTTATTTATTTACTCATTTGCCAACTCACTTATGTAACAACTCTTTATTGAAACTCC